AGTAGTTAAACCTCTGGCAACAAGTGCCTGCTCCCTGCTTGGATGTCTGTGGAGAGGACAAAAAGAGGGGATGTGGTATCACCAGTCTCCTGGTGCTTCCTGCCCCTGTAATCACGACATCCTCTAAATGTTGTTCTATGGCATGCAGTCTCAGTTGGGTGTTTATTTGCTTGGATGGTATCTTTCAGCTGAAAGCATCTAGGAGGGCTTCCTAGCCTGTATGGAGGCAGTGGGACAGGGAGGAGAGCTGCCTTGCCACTAGAATTCCTATCATTTGAGCTAATCAGTTTGAAGGCTGAAAAATTGATGGGCTTTCCCCTCACCTTCTTTTCTTAGTGTGCTTAAAGATAAATGCATTTGGTGTGGGCAAAGGGGTTTCCAGTAAAGCATCTCTCTCTTTATTTTTGGTTTCATTGAAAACTCATGAGCCTCTTGCAGAAAGCATTTGGTTTAGGGGCAAGTTTTTTTCCTTAATGAAAACTGTCATTTCCAGAAGGGGGGAGAAATGGCCTTGAATCCTTTTCCAGTGGGCTGTAAGTGCAATGAGCTGCAGTTCCTCTTTTGCTCATGGCTTGTGGTGTCCTCAGGTGCAACAGGCCACCTTCCCCGCTACCCATGTCCTGGGGGTGCTGGTGGGTGACATCCACATGTCTTTTTGGAGCAAGGCTGGACCATCTGGGCTCTTTATTGCCTTTGCATGTGGCAGTGCTCTCTGCACCTCCAGCTTGCTTGAGGGCATCACATTCTGCAGCACTGCTATTTCTAACCCATCTCTTCTTACCTGCTGTGCTAGTGTTGTGGTTTAAGCCCAGCTGGTAACTCAGAACCATGCAGTCATTTGCTCATCTCATCTTCTTTCTTCCCCCCTGTTCAGGCAGGATGGGGAGGAGAATTGAAAGAATCAAAGAACAGTCCAGTAACTAAAGTATAATAGAAATCTACTACTAATAATAACGGAAATAATAAAGGAAGAGAATATAAAACTAAAAAGAGAAAGGGAAAGAAAACAATAAACACAAGTGACGCACAATACAATTACTCACCACCCACTGACCGATACCCAGCCCAACTCAAGTAGCAATCTGGGCCCGGGTAACTTCCCCCAGTTTATACACTGGGCATGACATGCTGTGTTATGGAATACCCCTTTGGCTAGTTGAGGTCAGGTGTCCTGTCTCTGCTTCCTCTCTGCTTCTTGTGCCCCTCCTCACTGGCAGAGCATGAGAGACTAAAAAGTCCTTGATCAGGGTAAGCATTACCGAGCAACAACTAAAACATTGGTGTGTTATCAGCTTTATTCTCAGACTAAAGCCAAAACACAGCACTGCACCGGCTACTAGGAAGGAGGACAAAATAACCAGAACAGCCACCATAACCACAGATGTGCTTAAACACAATGAGCTTGTCCTGCAAAGGCATTGGACCCAAAAGGGAACCCAAAACAAGCATGAATTTGTGAATACCTGGCAAATGTGGTTAGGTTTGCCCCACCAGAGACATCAGAGGCATGGGAACAATGAGGCGGCGCAGGCTCAGTTTGCTGTGGGTGAAGGAGCTACGGTGGGGTACCAGTGAGGGGAGGAGATGGGCTTACTGAATGGCCAGCTAAAATCTGTAATTCTTTTCAGAAGCTCCTATTTTAAAACCTGATAAGGAAAACTGCCACTCCACATCCCCAGGGAGCTTTAAAGCAAGTTAATATAGAGGAGATGTCTCCTTTCTTTCTTTTCTTTCTTTCTTTCTTTCTTCTTTTTTTTTTTTTTTTTACCAGACTAAGCTTCCCTGAGAGAGTAATTAAAAAGTGCAAGTTCCAGGTGCTAACCGAGAGGATTATTTAGTTTGAAGAATGAAATGCTTGGATGCCCCTGCCCTTGTGCCCCTTCTGCAGAGCATCTGGTCTGTTAACGGGTGGCTTGGCCTTCGGTAGGAGCAGGGGTGGAGGATCAGAGTGATCCCATTTACCTCCAGCTCTTTCTAGGTCCCCAGGCACCTGAAATATAAGGGTGCAGGATACAGGCTGTTACGGCAGGAGAGTTACCAGTAACAGTTACAAAGCCTCGCAGTGCTGCTGTGTGCCGCTACTGCTGAGTTTTCTGCCTCATCATTTCCAAACACACCCGTAATGCTTAAACACAAGGAAATGGATAGTTAAGCACATCATTAATCTTATCCAGCCCACATAATCAACAATCAATTAATTCTTCTCTGAGCTGGAGAGATGCAGATTGCGCCGCAGCCTGGGCACTGGCAGAAGGAGCACGTTTCCGTAGGGGAAAGCAAGGCAAAGCCTCATCCTGTGCTTGTCCGAGGTGTTAAAGTGGATTCAGACCTTGCCAGCTCTGGGAAGCTTTCTTGCAGCAGCCCTTAAATCAGGGTAAACATTGTGCTTGCTGATAATGGGGTGATTTATTGCTCCCTCCTGGTCTTGAGCCCTCTATCTGAGCCTTATGCTCAGACTGCGCATTTACCATCTGAAGGGTTATGGATCCCATGCTGCACGGGTCTCTAAATCCCATTATGGCATTGTGGGGGCTTGAGAGTTCCAGCTTCATCTTCAGTGTGAGGTCATGGTTTAGCTCCCCCAGAAAGACAGGAGACACAGGCAATAGTGAGAGCAGAGGGCTGCAGCTTGCAGCAGCTTGGGAGAAGAGAGAAGGCATCCACCTCCCCTGACACTGTGGAAGACTTTAGGCAAGCACAGTGTAATTATAGGAGAGGGAAAGCTAATTGTTATCATTACCAATGAAGAGCCACGTTCTTGCAGATTACAGGAATTTATGAATAAGCAAAGTGATGAAAGAAACCTGAGGATGCTGGGTTGCAGAGTGTACTTTGTTTGGATATTGTGACAGAGCATCACTTTGATGAGTTGTAATTAAAAATTGACAAACCCCTTCAACCGACCCACCAACATGCCCCTGTGCTTAAAACTATGCTATGTTTGTAGCACTGCAATCCTTTCATCTCCCTCCCTCCCATTTCTGTCTCCACCCATCAAAATGCAGGTGGCCTTTCCCTGGTACCACTGCACTCTCCTTCCTGCTCTTCCAAAGAGGCCAGCATGTTTCAGGCATGTTTCTGAACACATCCTTCAGCTTTAGAGTCCATTACGCATCTCATGGATGCTAACGCTTGCTGTCAGGAGTGTAGTGCTGCAGGGATGTCATGAGGAGGTGCTGGTGGGAAGGGAGAGGTGGAGAAATGGAAATGACCTTGAAGTCTTGGTGTCCACTTGTGATTTCGTCTCCTGCTTTGTGTGCCTTGTGAAGCTCTGTGCTTCCTCGTGCTGTTATGGGGCACAGGGCTGCGTGTGGGGCTCAGGGAGGGGTCTGCATCCAGCTGCCTTCTGGTCGGGTATCCTGCAGTTTCCTCTCAAGGCCTTATGTGCCCTCCCAGTGTCCTGTGATGTGTGGTGACCCTGTGTGCCTAGTTGTCTGTCTCTAAGAGATGGTGGTTTATGGCCCTAAGAGCTTCTGTAAGATGCCATATGTGTAGAATAGCTGTAGTAGGATGCAGAGGACTTGGCAGTGGTAGGGAGGAGGAAGCGCAGCATGAGATGGTAGCTGATCCCTCTGAATGCCATGTCCTCACTCAGCTGTTAGTGCCATTGGAAAGAGACGGTTCATTGCAGCTGGTTGTGTGCCTTAGGCAGGGGAATAAATCCCCTGAATAATAAAATTGTAAAATATTGTTTTGATTTATCCTTTTTTATCGTCTTTTAATATCTGGAAAGACTGTGTGAGCAAGAGGCCTTCATGAGTTTTGAATGACAGGTTAAAGGGCTCCAATAAAGATTAGATGGTCCACTATCTCCCAAGGAAATTGCATCAAAGTGGTTACTCCTGCTCGCTCCTATTAATTTCCTCTTCACGGCTGCTAGGAGATGCCTCATATCCTGATGCAGCAGACAGGGGCTAAGAGGCACTTTCCATTATCTCAATCATTGCCGTGTTTATGAGACACTTAGGGTGTTTCTTTGCAGATCCATGCCTTGGTGGTAGGAGCATCACAGGGGCAAAGCCAGGAGCCAAACGGAGGTGGGACCACTCTGTGTGTGAGGGCAGGCACGGTCTCTCCACAGATGGGTGGTGGATCTGGTTTGGAGGTCTGGTCCCTCAAGTACATGTGCCAAAATACAGACAACTCCTTCTGCAGCCATCTGTTTCATAGGGGCCACCTGGGGGTTTTATTAGATGTCCAGGATGAATGAGCATCCATTCATCATCACCTAGTTTGTGAGGACCGGTGGAGTGAGCAGGGTTTGGGGACCCCATCTTTGTCGCTCCACCTTCACCCTCTAACTGCAAAGCAGCAAGGCAGTTGATGAATGAAATCTCTTCCTATCACTGACTAAAGCCTCGCTGTAACTGGAACATCTTCTTGTTTATGGATTAGTTTCCATTTCCTGCTTGAATTAACTTGGAGGCCAAAGGCCAGGAGGATTATTATCCCCAGCCCTGGGCTGCAGGGCTTTAATGGGGATGGATCTGTAAAACACTGTCATGGGCTTCCCATCAGCTTCTTAATTAAATATTTGGATTTTGCATGGCAAAAGAGATGTGAGACCTGAGCCATACCCTTGGGGTGGTGGAAAAGGACATTCCAGAGCAGCAGAAGGGGAATACTGTCCTGCTCCTTCATGTTTGTTTCCCCATGGGTGCTGCTGGGCCAGGGGTCCTTCCATCCCCATGCCTGGGTAGAAAACGGTGGGGAGTGAAGCAGCTTCTGCAGCCCCCTTGCTCTGCCTGGCTAATTACTGTATCTTTACTGTGTGATTTCAGTGTTTTCCTGGTGGCCACAGAAATAATTCATGGCCAGTGTGGAAAGTTCTGGCCATCCAGACTTCAATAAGAAGGTGCTACCCTGTTTAGCTCTGATACAGGCATGAAGCTTTTCTGTATCTGTCTTTCTTTCTGCCCTGTTTCAAGGACAGGACATGCTCTCACCTCTTCTCTGGGATGATTTGGCACCTAACTGCTTTTCTCTCCCTTCTCTTGCAGCCTGTCCAGCAGGGACCTTCAAGGCCAGCCAGGGTGCAGGGGTCTGCGTGCCGTGCCCCTCCAACAGCCGCTCCACCGCCGAGGCGTCGCCAGTCTGCACGTGCCGCAATGGCTACTACCGGGCAGACTTTGACCCACCGACAGCTGCCTGCACCAGTGAGTAATAGATCAGAGTTGGCGGAAGGGTCTCGCACTCCTCTGCTGCTGGGGATAGCATCTCAACCCAGGAGCTTTTTTGTCTTCTTTTCTCCCCCTGTCCTGCTGTAGAGGGGAGCAAGATTGGGGCTGGGTGGGCATTTGGTTGCCAACTGTGGTCAATCCACTGTGAGGGTTTAGGCTTGCAGAGGGCTGGGGTACCCACAGTGAACATCCATCCCTTTCCACATGGCACACACCACCTCCATGTGCTATAGAAGTTGTTATATCACCCTTTGCTGTGCTTGCCTGGGACATTGCTGTGACACACACCAAACAATGAGTGATGGGACAGCCCTGCAACCTACCTCTCTGGCAGCCATGTGGATTTATACTTCACTCTGGCAGTGGTGATGATGGTACAGAGATAATCCACAGGATAAATTAGAATTTAAAGTTACCTGCTGTTGCTGTCTTGTTCATAGCATTGCAGATGGAGTATTTCTATTTTTATAGGGGAAAAGGTGTGTTAAGCATTGGTATTCAGCACGGTGTTGCATGTAATGCAATGCTGCTTGGGTGTCTGCCCAAACTGCCTGTGATGGCAGCAGCCTCCTCAAGCCTGTCTTTTGGTGAGAAAACAGCCCAGGAGAGAAAAAAGAGCTGCTGTGCTCTTAAGCCCACTGGGACCATGAATCTCAGCCTCGATTCCTAGTCCCCATGGGGATTTTGAGTCAGCCTGTCAAGAAGCTTTAACACAAGGATGCTCTGGACCCTTGGTGCTAGGAAGTGCCTGAAATGCAGGTTGGAAATGGGGAAAGGATTTGCATGCTTTGCTGGATCACTTGAGCTGTCAAACCAGAGGTACTCAGCAGGTAGCACAACTGCACATAATCCATATATCTTTATTATGTCTTGTTACACAGCTGATTTACAGTATTGCTGCACTGTACAAATACAGTATAAAAAAGTCTATTTGCCAATTTTCATTTCTTCTCGTTGATGCTTAATTTTACAAGGCTCTATTTGAGGTGCCAGCTGTTCCCTGACAAAGTTTCTCTGTGTTAGAGGAGTAAATAACACTGTGGAGCTGTGTCCCTTAACTAGAGCCCTTCCCAAGGGCAATGCTTTTGAATGTGTTCCCTGCGCCATACCCCTGGCAGAGGAGGGAAGGGGCTGTAATTAAAGGGGAGGAATTTGGGGAGACAGTGGTTTGCTGCTGGGCCAGAGAAGAAAGAGGTTTTTCCTTTATCTGGAAGAAAAACAGCTTGTCTGCTTAAGGTACAAAGAGGGGGATTGGATTAAGGGAGCAGGGGAAGAGGGCAGTGCAGGCAGGGAGCTGGGCAGGGGTGGCCACCCATGACCCCCTGGGCTGGCTGGGAGCAGTGACCAGAGCAGGGTATCAGCTGAGGTCATCCTGAATGGCTGACCTCTCCATCCATCCCACCAGCCATGTCACCCCCACGCTGATGAAGCTGCCTCCGCCCAGCCCATCCCCAGCCACTAATGGGGCTAATTTATCTGCGGGCAGTAACGATGTTCCCCAGCACACTCACGTGGAGGGCTCCCCTGGGATGGTTTTCCCCAAGACAGAGCATGCTTCGCGCTCTTAACCTTTCCTCACAGGTCAAGTCATCCATCATTTTTATTGCTCCCTGCATCACGGCAAAGTCCTTTTTCTTCCTTGGAAGTGCAGCACTGAGCCCATCCAGCACAAGTAATTAATTGCTTTCCTTATTTGACATAACACAGCAGCTGGATTTTGTGGGTTTGGATGCAGAGCTGTCCTGGCTAACGCCAAATCCTTCCCTAGACCTGGGTAGATGTATGTTTGTACCTCAGTGAGGCTGTCCTGCCTGGATTCCTCCTGAATCACTCCTTACGGACTCTGGCCCTGTTTTGGCAGCGCTTGCAGTTGGAGCTACATTCAATTCCCATCCTCCGAAGCATTTGCAATGGCTCCCAGTGGATTTGATCAATGCAATTTTGATCTCTTGTCCAACATCCGAGCTGCTTGCAAACCAGAGAGTGGTGCCAGCTCTCCTCCACGCTGTTAAATATCTGCGCTCCCAACTTGAGATATCGAACCATTAATAACCACTTTCCATTTTTGACTACCTTTGCCCACTGCTCCTCCATTTATCTGCGGTGCTGGCTAAGTGGAGTTTCTCTCGCTGTGATAATCTGTTTGAGTTGCTTCTCCACGTGAGCACTGGAGGTATCTCGACATCTCCTGATCGTTAAAATGAGTCCATCTTTGCAGATGGATGTGTGTGCACTCTGCATGGGTTTGTTGGTTTTTTTTTGAGACTAAGTGGATTTGTGCCATGGGAGTCCTTGTCTGAACTATGAAACCCCCTCTGTGGCTGGTGATGCAGCTGTTGAGCGTTGCCAATGGGGAGAGCCTGACCCTGACTTGGGCAAAGCTATGGAGACCAAATCCCTCTTGAGGCAGGATGTGATGGGCAGAGGAGCAGATGGAGCCATGATGGAGCCCTCAGGGCTCCCGCTGAGCCCCAGTAGGGCTGAGCATAACATTTTGGACAAGGGCTGTCTCAAGCACTCTCCTTTGCTGCAGGTGTCCCGTCTGGTCCCCGCAACGTCATCTCCATCGTCAATGAGACATCCATCATCCTGGAGTGGCACCCACCACGAGAGACAGGGGGTCGGGACGATGTCACCTACAACATCATCTGCAAGAAGTGCCGGTCGGACCGACGCGCCTGCTCCCGCTGTGATGACAATGTGGACTTTGTCCCCAGGCAGCTGGGGCTGACAGAGACCCGGGTCTTCATCAGCAACCTGTGGGCACACACGCCCTACACCTTTGAGATCCAGGCTGTCAATGGGGTTTCCAACAAGAGCCCCTTCCCCCAGCAGCACGTGTCCGTCAACATCACCACCAACCAAGCGGGTGAGTCCTGGGATGATGCAATGCTGGGGGGTTTTAGCCATACTCTACCAATGAAAAGCTCCATGTGGAAGGAAGCTCCACATCTGAAGGATAAAGCTCCTTGCATGTGAGTGGTCTGTGATGGATGTGGTAAATCTGCAGCCAACCCCAAGTGGGCTGTGGGGAAGGTGGCAAGAGGGAAGAAAGGCCAGGAAAAGAGGAAGGAAAAGTATTGGGGAGGTGGATGGGATGGGAAAAGTGAGACCTGGGTTGTGGGAGAGAGGGGACTGATATCTGGTTTTTATCCACCTCTAGATTGCTTGGGGATGAAATAGCATCACCATTTCCCACCTTTTCCCAAGTGGGATCAGGGAGATGGGGTGAATCCAGCCATGAAATGCAGCCTGGTTGCGTTACAGCATGGAAGGAACAGCATTACAGGATGGAAGGAGCATCATCTCAGGGCTGAGTTCAGGCTCTGTCTCCTCTGGCAAATTGCTCTCCCATAATTTTCCTCTTGTTCCCTTTTCCAGGCTCCCCTGCCCCTTTCCCTCCCTTTTTCTGATCAGGTGTCAGGAGCTGAACAACAGCTCTGAGCCAAGCTGGGATGCCAGCAGGCTGGGGGTACAGATGACAAGGGGGAAACTGGTCCCAGGCTGCAACAAGGAACACAGAGAGTAAAGGAGATGGAAACCCATCTGCTTTGGGCAGAGAAAGGGAATGGTAATTCCTGCTTTGTGCTGAGCGTGTCATGTAGGCAGGCTTTGCCAAGGTGCTCCCTTGGGATAGCGCAGCAGAGAAACCTGGCATAAATATTTAAGTCTCCTGGCTCCGGGCAGTACAAATCTATGCTTGTGCCTGGCTGGCATCGCTGTCTCCTGAACCACATGCAGTCAAGCCTGCCTCTTGTTTCCAGGCCTTTTCTTTTCCAGGGTGGGATTTTTGGGGTGTTTCTTTGCTCACATCCTGCCCCGGGGCTGCTTGGAAGCTGGGAACAGCCAGGCCACCTGTGGCTATCTGTTCATAGCCCAGCACTGGCTGTTTGTCTTGCAAAGGATGGGTATTAACGTGGAAATGCTCCCAGTGCCACAGGATGGGCTGCTGGGTAATGTGGTGGAAATGCGTTGGGCATGTCAAGGGCAAGATCAGTGCTGACCATCTAAAACTGCTTGGCTTGCAGTTGGCTTTTCCAACCGCAGGGCTGGTTAGTGCATCTCACCCCACAGGGCTGCTCCCAGCCCCATCCACCTGCACACAGCTATCCACGCTAACAGGGTGGGGAACGCAGCAATTAACAGCAATCAAGCGAAGTGTTTAATTTCAGCCCATGAACGTCTTGGAATGGTTGTGGAGAGATTAGCCCCCCCCCCCCCCCCCAAACAACCAGGTATTAAATATGCCAGGTAAACAAAGGTGGTGCCAAACTATCGACATCTCCCAGTGCAGCTACATGGAATAGAGCTCCCATCACACCCAGATTCCCTCCATGGCACTATCCTATGCTCCAAGCTGGTTGTGCCAAGCTGAGCTCTGCCCTGGTCATGCTAGAGAGGCTTTTTGATAGGATTAAGTACAGTATCAGGGCCATATTTGCTGGCTCTGACTCTTTCAAGTATAACTTGGAGGGCAAAAAGCCTTTGGAAAAGTGGCTCCTGGCTAATATATTAGTTTGGTGTCTTTGATGGTGGAAGGACAGCATTGTTGCTGTTGGGACGCTCAGCTCCAGGGATACTTGGCTGTGGGAGTCCTTGGCTGAAGGGATGCTCAGGCGCAGATTAGCCCTGGGATTGTTCCAGTGGAAGCAGAGAGCAGAACATGGAGCAGGAGCAGTGGGGACAATGTGCCTGGTAACTATTTTGGGAAACCTGCTCTCTTAACTCTGGGTGGGTGAGGAGCTCAAGGATGGTTTGAGAGTGTTTTGCAAGTGCTTGGGGTTTGGAAAAAACTTCTGGGAGAGACACATTTGGGCATTGAGGATGAGCATCCCCCGAGAGCTTTGAGAGCAGGCCCAGCAGCTCCTCTGGGACAGGGCTGAGCCAAAGCTGTGCCACAGGCTCCAGCACCCTGGGATCTCCTTACTGGGTTGGGGTGTTCCTGAGCTGGTTTCCCATCATCGTCCTGGGGGTTGGCAGAGTTTTGCTCCTACATCCTATTATAACAGCACATGGGGTCACAGCTGCGGTACAGGCTCCTGTAGTGCTGGATGCTGGCTCCCCCAGAGAGGATGTTACAGCAAAAGATGGCAAGTGGAGCTGGAAAATGCCATTGGGTCTTGGTTTGTCCCTGCTGGGGAGAGCTTTGCTGTCTTTGCCCCACTGTGGGAGACATCCTTGGAGCAAGCAGTCCCAGGGAGAAGGAGCACTGAGGATTTCTAAACCCCTAATTAAAAAGTCATTGGTTTAAATACCAGAATTCCCTTGCAGCTTGCTGCTCTGGTTCCACATAAGCTGCTGAGATGTTGCTCTTCCCACCGCTAACGTGTGAACTTGTCCTGTATGGTGAACAGCCACAGGCATGGGATATTAGGGATGCTCTTGTGTGTCCAGGGAATTTTTGCCCTCCCCAGGGCCATTGGTCCTACCCCTCTCTGATAATTTTAACTCTTCCCCTGCTTCCTTGCCAGCACCCTCTACTGTCCCCATCATGCACCAGGTGAGTGCCACAATGAGGAGCATCACGCTTTCGTGGCCTCAGCCTGAGCAGCCCAATGGCATCATCCTGGATTATGAGATCCGCTACTACGAGAAGCTGAGCCGCATCTGCACACCCGATGTCAGCAACACTGTGGGCTCCAGGCCAGCAGCAGTAAGCTCGAGTGGAAACCTTGCAATGGGGCGTGGGCTGGGGACACGTGGAGCTTTGTATTGTGCTGCTCAGGAGGCTGCTCAGGTTCTGAGCTTGCTGGGAGATGGGGAACATCGATGAGGCTCTCTGCTGACAAGAGTCAGAGTGGTGGGATGGGGGGTGGAACAAGCAGCAGGTCACCTGCGCTGGCTTGGGAGGGTGGGAATGATTTGCGGCCAGAGGAAGGGAAGAGATGTGGCCACAAATGCTAATTCTCCCATGGCAGCATTTTCTCCGGTACGTAAGTGCTGTTGCTGCCTTGGCTCTGGTATCTGCTAAAGCCAGCAGTGACTCGGAGCCTGGGGTCAGTGTCAGGAGGAAAGGAGCGGATGGAAAACACCAGGCAGAGTTATCAGGGTTGTCCCTTTGCCGGGTCATTGCCTCCCGCTGCATCCTTTCACTGGCAGCTGTCCTTGCCCACAGGGGACACACACTCGACCCTTGCGGTGAACCGTGCCATGGCCAAGCTGTTCATCCCTCCTGTGTCTTGCCAGCTTGAATGAATTCCTCTAAATGTGAATAATTAGGTGATCTCACCAGAGCCCCTATACAGCAAAGCACTGGGGAGCATTGCAGAAAATGAGATTTGGGATGCATGAGGCTTCCAGCAAGGTTTAGCACAAGAACCCTTGTTAGCAAAGCAGTGATCGTAGGGGTTGGGGCTCTTGTCAGAGGCCAGTTGCCCTTGAACCTGCTTGAGCAGGGCCTCATAGGGCATGTTATGGTGTTTCTGTAACTGCATGATGTTTCTGCAATGTGCAGGGACATCAGTGGTTCAAAGAGGAGGAATTTGCTGCTCATGAGTATATTTGCTGTGGATGCTCTTACTGTTTCCCCACTGCTCCATGCTCTTTGCTATGCTGTGACCAGGAGGGCTGCCTGTGGGACCTCCCCAGATCCTTAGAAGACAAGTAGAGCTTGTAGGTCCTGTTTCTGGGAGATTCTCTGCATCAGGGATCAAGGGCAACCAGGAGGGTCTGAGCCTCCTTCCCCAGGCTCCAGTGCTTTCCCTTCTGGAGCAGAACCAGGGCCACTGCTTGATTCCCCTGAAGATAAAACTCATCCCTGCCATCAATGTGGACGGGTGGGCTGCAAGGCACATCGTCCCCAGCACTGTTCCCCATTCCCATTGCATCTGACCGTTTCTGTCGGTGATGCCTTCAGGATCACAACGAGTACAACTCCTCCATGGCCCGCAGCCAGACCAACACAGCCAGGATCGAGGGGCTGCGACCCGGGATGGTGTACGTGGTGCAGGTGCGAGCCCGCACTGTAGCCGGCTATGGCAAATACAGTGGGAAGATGTGCTTCCAGACGCTGACGGATGGTGAGTCCGGGGAGGGGGCACAGGGAGGCAAACGGGGTGGTTGTTTTGTTCCAGTGACAGCTTCAAGCTCTAATTGGATTAAACGAACCTGCCTCTGCAAAGCTCGCTCCCAGCGGGCAGCGTGGCAAAAGCCAGGTGATTTACAGCAGTGTCTTATTAATCGCCAGCTGGAGGAGTAATCTGTTTTGAATCTCTCAGCTCTCTTTTTTTCCCCCTGCTATTTAGCTGTGGTTCTGTCTTTCCTGCCTCCAGCTGTGGTGGCAGAGACCCCCTGCCACCAGCTGTGAGCCTGGCACCGTGGGGTGGGGAGGACAGGAGGGTTGTAGATCCCTGGAGGAAGGACTGTGGGATGCTCAGGACTGCATATGAGACATCAGGACAAAGCTGGAAAGGTCAGAGCCATCACTGAAAGCTGATTTGCCACCCTGAGGTGGTGTGTTGAAGGAAAAGGACCAGCTCATGACCTTTGTGGCTTCTGGCCTCATGCTGTCATTCTTCTGGCCCCAGTCCTTCCCTGCACCCACAAATACTAGATCCCTTGGGATGGTTCTTCATTAATCCCAGCTTCAGAACTAACACAGAAGTCAGTGAATGAAGCACTCCTGGAGCAGATGAAGTCCCCTCAGAGAGCCCTTCCCTGCTGCTGCTTGCATGGTTCCTGCTCCACATAGGTGACACCTATGGGTCCCAGCTCTGCTGCCTGCTTTTCCTAAAGCTTTTCTGTTTTCCTAAAACCGGGTCACCCTGTTGAGTGGAGTGGGAAGAGGAGGACCACGCAGGGGACCGAAGGGAAGGAAATGGTAATAAACCCTCCCAGTGCCTTGAATATTCAAGATTAGAGAAGCGAGACAAAAAATCTTGCCTCAAATAAGCAATTAATTGAAATTTAATAAGAACGGATAGTGTAGATTATTAAATAATAATTGATGGTTAGATGAGAATTTCTCAGGCTTTAAGCAGCATGCAGGAGATAAATCTAGTTGCTACTAATTAACCGCGGAATAGAAAAATACAGATAAAGGGGTGCTTATGTGCTTCTTTTGGAGTGAGTTTATTTTAACTCACTTGTGGCTGATGGCACAGCCTGGCAGACCTTGCTGGGGACAATTGGAGGTAGGGGGATGTTTCTGGGGAGCTGCAGAAGCCCCTGTGAGTGTGGGGTCTGCTGGATACTGCCCGCTGCGGGTGCCCACACCACTAATGGGGCAGGGGAGAAGAGGAGGAAAATGTGGGGAGGCACATGGAGGTTGCAAGTGGCTTTCTTGGGGTTCCTCCAGTCCTCCCTATGCCACCTTGGCTTTCAACTCAGTCTGCTGCTGAAGGACACAGCAGGTGGCCAAGGGCATGCAGGGGGCTTGAGGGATGCTTGGTGCTGTAGTTGCTGTGGCTCTACAAAAGGAGTTCGCTCCTGTTAAATTTGGTCAAAACGGCCAACAGGTTTAAATTTTTTTTGAGGGAGGAGAAACTCCCGAGCGATGGACAAAGCCACCCTGTGAACCTCATCTCTGCAGCAAACTGGGCCTATGTGCAGTGGATTTGACTTCATTCCCAGGACCTTCTCTTCCACATTTTTAACCCAAAGTATGTGTGAGCCAAGTGTGACAATCCTTCCCTGTGCAACGCAGCACCGATTCATCACCTACCTCAACCAACACTCCTGCCTGGATCCCCCTTGTTCCACCACCCTCCCAGGGGAGCAGCGCCCATGGAATCAGAGGGGGCATGACAGGATCCCTTCCCAGGAGGCTGCCCTTGCTCCATGAGTGTGCAAGGGAGAATTCACCCTATCCCTTTTCTCTTGCAGATGACTACAAGTCAGAGCTGAGAGAGCAGCTGCCTTTGATCGCAGGGTCCGCAGCAGCTGGAGTGGTCTTCATTGTCTCACTGGTGGCCATCTCCATTGTCTGCAGCAGGTGGGTCCCCATGGAATGTGTCCCTGTAAGTGGAGGTGCTAAGATGTAGCCGGGAGAGATGTGGGGTAAGAAGAGAGGGATGGGAGATCCCATAGATGGAGGGAGTACAAAGCTGTCACTGATCAGCAAGTGCTGCTTCAGGGGAGTGGTTTGGGGCTGCTGCCAGCTACTGGTCCCTCAAGCCTGGCTTGTTTTCTCCCCTTGTCTCCCAGGAAGCGTGCCTATAGCAAGGAGGCGGTGTACAGCGATAAGTTACAGCACTACAGCACCGGGAGAGGTGAGCGGGGAAAGTGGGCTGGGGAAACACTCCTAAACCTGCACCCAGCATGTGCCCCATGCCTCCACCTTCAGTGTGTGTGGCAGGGGGATGAAAGCCCCATGGGACAGGTGGAGAGCGCCATAGGGTGGGAGCAGAGATGTCCACAACTGTGTGTCAGGGTGTCTGGGGGGATTTTACAGTGGTGCAGCATTGAGGGTGGGAAAAGAAGAGTGATGAGGGGGATCGGGAGGATGAGGATGGATTTGGGGGGAGAGGGAGATGTAGGGGGACAAGGGATGGGGAGAGGATCCTGTGAAGACTTCCAAAGGAGGTAGGGAAGGAGAGAGGTGGTGTTCAGAGGGAGGATAAACTGATTTCCTGCTGCAGCCCAGTATTGGGCTGCTCCTTCCACTGTTGTGTATAATGTCTGCTCAGGTGCCCTTGATAATAAAGTATCAGTTTCATGGGGTGAGTAGTTGCCACCCAGTGCTCACAGGGTCCATGCCCACAGGATGTAAATCCCATTTATGCTCTCTTAGAGATGTCTCCCAGGTGGAGTTTGCTTTCCTTGTCGGAAGAGACCACCTGCTTGGGGAAAAAAGGGATGTGATGGGATGCAGGGATGGGTGAAAGATGGCTGGGGAAGGGCAGGAGCAGGATGGAGGATCGAGGGGGGAGGGGTGGAGACAGAGTGATCAGTCTGGCAGAGAAAAACAGGAGTGCTGACAGGGAAGGAGAGGGTTTGGAGGCAGCCAGGTGATCCCAGCCAAGCCAGCAACACCACGTTAGAACTCTTGACCTTCTCAGCTGCATACCAAACCTTCCCAACATGATGGCAGGGCTGTGGGGGACCTTTTGGATGCTTTCAGAACATCACTGGGTGATGCTTAAATACAATGGACCTGTGCTTTTCCTTCCTTGTTTCTCTGTTTCTGCACCTTGGATGTCGGGGGAAGATTTATTTGATGCCTGATGGCTTGGTCTGTGTCAGGCTGCAGGTGGGCTTATTTATCCTGTTTCTCCTCCTGGTTTGAAATGTTTCACGCCCTAGCTGTGTTCCTAGCTCACCCCAAGCACTCCAAAACACAGGGTGCTCAAACCAGGTAGGAAAGAAACGAAGCATGTGTCTGTGTGTAGTTTTAAAGCTGGGATATGTGAGGATCAGTGCCAGGAAGACTGGGTACTGGGGCTCCTGGATGCACAGCAAAACCCTTTCAAGGTTAGCAAGCCTCCAGGCGCCTGGTTATTGCAGATGCTTGAGCAAAACAGGTGAGAAATTTGTGGCCAGCAGCTAATGGAATAAAAAGTGCATCCATTGGAACAAATCAGCCACACGTTTAGCAGCAGCACAGCAATTGCAGCTCTGCTGTTCCTCCCAGGAGCACCCCAGGTTTGCCGGCTGGTAAGGACTGCCCTGGGTTGGTTCTGGGGTGAGATGGGGTCTCTCAGGTTGTCATTTCTCATGCTTTTATCTCTGCCACTCCTTTGCTGGGAGTCTTGAGATAAGGTAGATAGGGAAAGCGCCCTGTTGGAGTGGTGGTGATTCAGTGGGAAGGGGTTTTTCTCTGTCCCAGCGATATTTATTCCCAAGGAAAAATGATGTCAGAAAGAATCTAATGCTGGAGTCAGGGCTGTGGGGCAGAGTGCTTAAACTTTCAGAGTGATAAAAGGTTTGCCGTCATCTGCAGTAGAGATAAATGGCCTAATCCAGTTTCTAGGAGTACTGGGGTGATTTTAGGAGCAGAGTTTTCTTTGCAGGCAAGCTCAGCGTGGGTTGCCTTTGGTGCTGTGCTCCGGTACCTGGCATTTTGCCTGGGTTTTGCCAGCATAGTGATGATGAGCCGGTGGCTGAGGTTTGCAGAGACGAGTAATGGGTTTAGGTGCCCTAATCGCATTTGTTCGGATGGGATGGGCATTAGAGGGGGAGCTAAACCTGGTGTTCACTGAGCCTAGGGGCAGACCCCAGGGCACATCAGAGGGTGTTTGAACACCAGCCTGTATTGGTGGTGGGCAGGAAACTTCAGCATATTGCCTCCTTTATTTCTTCAATATTTTGATCAGTGAGTCAGTCTCAGTTATGATCCTGTAAATCCCTTTGTAATCCTGGCTGGAGCATCAGCTGCTCTTGTAAAAAAATTTATGGGGCAGTTAAAGTGTATGAGACAGAGCTGTAAAGGGATTTATGAACTGGGAGATGCACAGATGGCTTCATTGCAGCTTTCCCCGCCTGCCTCCAAGGTGCAGAGCTTTTGCCCCAGGTGGCCCTTTTAGGCATGAGGATTCTCCTGTCCGGTCCCTCTCAAATCCTGGGTGCCCTGCAAACAGTTCTCCCTTTGTAGCTGTTCTACACCAGCACTGCCCCTCTGTGAGGCTTTCATGCCTCCTCCCAAATTACTTGCAAAGTGGCCGGGAGCTGATCTGGATTCCCAGTGTAGAGCTGCACAGGAAAAACACTGTGGTCCATGCATTCATCTGTGGTTGCCTCTAGAAGAGCTTTGGGAAACACCAGTGTGACAGGAATCAAACACTGTTGATCACAGTAAGGGCAAGGTGCCTCAGGAGGGAGGACCAGGCAGTGATGTCCTTCCTGGTCTCCTCCAGAGATGACCTTGAGGGGCTGCTACACCATCCCCAGTCCTCTTTTGGTTAAGAAATGGCACAGGAGTCTGATCCCCCTCAGGGGGACCACAGCCCATTTAGGTTCCCCTTTGGGGACTATGGTACAGTCCTCAGCTCAGGCCCAGGGATGGCTGTGGGCATGCTCTGACCTGTGGCTGTGCCCCTTGCAGCTCTGCAAGCCCCAGAGCATCCTGACAAGATGTCTGCTAACACCATCTGGGGAATCTAGGGGCCTCTTTTGATTTCTCTGCCATTTGAAAAGGGCAAGATCCCACTTCCTGCATCTCCCTGCAGCATGTTTGGGTCCTGCTGCGTGTGTTGCCCCTGTGTGAGGGACTGCACACTTGTCACAGAGGCGGGCCAAGCTGTATTTTATGGCTCCATACAGGTTGTTGATTATAATTGCTGCACTCTGTCAATTTAGTAGCTGCCACAAAGCTATCAGAGGCTTTTTTGGGTAAATAAATATTTCTTGACTAATGCATAGAGCCTCGTAAAGCCCTCACCATAAAGCCAGCTAATTATAGTTCATGTCTATAACTGCTCCCCATTGCCAAGGAAGAAGAAGAAGGAGGATAATAGTGGAGGAACAGAGGCAGAGGGGGAGAAGAGGGAATGTAGGGGAGGGTCAGGTAGAATAGGGGAGACCAAAGAGGATGATAAGGGTCTATGGAGGTGGCATGTGAGGACAGTGATAGCAGTCATCTTAATGGGTGTACAGAGAGTATGAGGACATGGGGGTCTCCAGTTCTTGGCCATGGCACAAATGCTCTTATTTTCTCTCCCTTTTGCTTTGCTCCTGTATTTCCTGCAACAAGGGTCTCCAGGAATGAAGATCTACATTGACCCCTTCACCTATGAGGATCCCAACGAGGCAGTCCGAGAGTTCGCCAAGGAGATTGATGTATCCTTCGTCAAGATTGAAGAAGTTATTGGAGCAGGTGGGTCTTGCCATCGCCTGCCGCCCATTCCTTCCTGCCCTCTCCACTGCTCTTGCGTGGCCAGACACCCACCTGGAGAAGTTTTCAGGGGTGTATGTGTGGTCCTTCACTGGGAAATCCTCAAGGAATCATAGAATCTACTAGGTTAGAAAAGACCTTTAAGATCATTAAGGCCAACCATTACCCCAGAACTGCCAAGACCACCCACTAAACCATGTCAGTAAGGGCCTCATCTGCATGGTTTGTGAACACTTCTAGGGATGGTGATACCACCACTGCCCTGGGCAGCCTGTTCCAATGCCTGATTACCCTTTTGATAAAGAATTTTTTTCCTAATGTCCAATTTAAACCTACCCTGGTGCAGCTTGAGGCCATTACCTCTTGTCCTGTCGCTTGCTACTTGGAGAAGAGACTGACTCCCACCTCACTACAACCTCCTTTCAGGTATTTGTAGAGAGCTATAAGGTCCCCCCTGAGCCTTCTCTTCTTCAGACTAAACCCCTCAAGGTCCCTCAGCTGTTCCTCATCACACTTGTGCTCCACAACCCTTCACCAGCTCTGCAGCTCCTCCCTGGACCCGCTTCAGCACTTTAATCTCTCTCTCGCAGTGGTGGGCCCAGAACTGAACACAGGATTTGAGGTGCAGCCTCACCAGTGCCCAGTACAGGGGACGGTCACTGCCCTGGCCCTGCTGGCTACGCTATTGCTGATACAGGCCAGAATGCTGTTGGCCTTCTTGGCTGCCTGGGCACAAGCTGGCTCACGTTCAGCTCCATCAATCAGCACCCCCGGGTCCTTTTCTGCCAAGCAGCTTTCCAGCCACTCTTCCCCAGGCCTGTAGCATTGCATAGGGTTGTTGTGGCCCAAATTCAGGACCCAGCACTTTGCCTTTCTGAGCCTCATCCCAGGGCCACAGCCCATCATTCCAGCCTGTCCAAATCCCTCCATAGAGCCCCCCTATCTTCCAGCAGATCAACACTTCCACCCAGCTTGGTGTCATCCACAAATTTACTGAGAGTGCACTCAATCCCCTCATCCAGATCACCGGTGAAGATGTTAAACAACACTGGCCCTAACACCGAGCCCTGAGGGATACCATTAGTGACCGGTCACCAGCAAGATGTGATAACATTTACCACCACTCTTTGGGTTCGGCCGTCCAGCCAGTTTCCAACCCAGTGAAGAATACACCTATCCAGTCCATGGGCAGCCAGTTTCTCCAGGAGAGCACTGTGGGAGACAGTGTCAAATGCTTTACTTAATTCCTAATGGACAATGTCCACAGCCTTTCCCTCATCAAGCAGATGGGTCACCTTATTGCAGAAGATCAGGTTGGTCAAGCAGGACTTTCCCTTCATGAACCCATGCTGACTGCTGGCCAGGTCCCTGTGTTTTCCCGCACACGCTTTATAATCTCACTTAGGATCGTCTGCTTCATGACCATCCCTGGCACTAAGGTCAGGCTGGCAAGCTTGTAGCTTCTGGGGTCCTCCTTCCTGCCCTTTTTGTAGAGAGATGTCATGTTGGCCAATCTCCAGTCTTCGGGGATCTGCCCACTAGACGAGGACACCTCAAGGTTTTGTGATGGATTAGGACAGACACAAAGTTGGTTTGTGTTCTTAAAGTTCCTATGAGGCAGGAAAAGCTCTATGAACATATTTGCTAGATGACAGTGGGGTGTCTTGGGATTTCCCATTTGGCTTTTCCATGAGATAACAAGAAAAAATCAGATCTCGCTCTAGTCTGTGCCATATTTCCATACATATGTATATATATACATGCATTCACATATCTGTATGTCATCTGTGCTGGTTTTATTGCCATTTTTAAATTAACGTGTCATACTTGTAGAAGAGAAAGTGAGAAGCCAGGGGGAAGTTGCAATGAAGCAATGAGCTAGTTTGATCGGGATCGAGTTCAGCGATGTTTCAGCTGCCCTTTGCTACTCATCAAGGCAGAGTGGCTGAAAACCTGGCTTAAACGTAATCCCTTCACAGGCAAATTTTTCCTTGGTGAAGGAAAAGCTCTCCTGCTGAAAATGAGAGGATGTTTTCTCTGCATTTTAAATCAGAGGGCAGCAATGCAAACGACCCAACTGTTTTCCATTCCAAGATAAGTGATGTGCAAAAAGGTAACTGAGATTATCAAGGCCGACAACTGATATTTGGGGTAGTCCTTAAATGTTATTGCTCTTGCTCTGCAAATCCTTATTAGGGGGTTTGCAAGAGCAACCCCAGCCTCTTCTTCTGTCGGTCCTGGATTCTGTCACCTTGGAGAAGGTCGCAAGCCTAAACACATCCTCAGCAGCAAACATTGCCCCTTTTAAAGAGGACAGGTGAGTAGATTTATAGAGGAGAGTATTGCTGAAGGTAATTCCTCATCCAGTTGGTTTGGAGACCAAGCAGCTCAAGGTACCATTATGCTTTGCAATGTTTTTTGTGGAGGAGTAGGTGGTAGTGGATGGTCTTGCACTTGCAGGGGAGTTTGGAGAAGTGTATAAAGGACGCCTGAAGCTGCCTGGCAAGCGGGAGATCTACGTGGCCATCAAAACACTCAAGGCTGGCTATTCTGAGAAGCAGCGCCGGGATTTCCTGAGCGAGGCCAGCATCATGGGGCAGTTTGACCACCCCAACATCATTCGGCTGGAAGGGGTGGTGACCAAAAGCCGACCAGTCATGATCATCACTGAGTTCATGGAGAATGGGGCCCTTGACTCCTTCCTGCGGGTAAGATGCTGGCATACCTCTGCCTTAATCAGTTAGGGCAGGTGGGTAGTCCTCTGTGGAGGTGCAGCATCCTCCTAAGATTGGGCTGAGCAGCTCTGGGGTCTGTATGCTCACCCCAGTGCCTACTCTTTCTGATTGCAGCAAAATGATGGGCAGTTCACAGTGATCCAGCTGGTGGGGATGCTCAGAGGAATTGCTGCTGGGATGAAGTACCTTGCAGAGATGAATTATGTGCACCGAGATCTGGCTGCCAGGAACATCCTGGTCAACAGCAACCTGGTGTGCAAAGTGTCTGACTTTGGCCTCTCGCGCTATTTGCAGGACGATACATCCGACCCTACCTACACCAGCTCCTTGGTAGGTACCTTGTGAGGTTTTATTTTGCCCATCCCCAGTGCCTGCCCTGCGTCTGCTGCCAGCTGGACCTGGGGGAAGGGCACTGGATGTATGCTCCAGAGATTCTACCATGAGTGGGAGCATTTCAGGAGGGTTCCCACCACACAGGCTTGTGCCCCAAAGGCCCTGGCTGTGGTTCCCACCCATCATCCTCTTTTGCCTCCTTTCTCTTTCGCCCTTTATGTTTTTTGCATCACTCCTCCTCCAAGCACCTTTCTGCCCTTAGCAGTTTCCAGATAAGCCCCTTCCTTCTCCTCCATGAAGGGAAGGTGCATGGAGGAGTCACTGCAGAGACAGTAAGGGAGATCACAGCATCTCCCATTGGCACAGCGATGGCATTTTAACTCCCTGGTGCTCCAGGTTTGGTCTGCCTTTCTCTGCTGGAAGCTTGTTCCAGTATTAATTAGAGTCAAGCCTAATGGGAGTTCTGCTGTTCCCTAGCCACCCTTCTCATCTTTAATTAACTCATTTGTAGGTCATGGCAACCCCACTGTCCCTTTGCTCCCTGCCACCCCAGGAGACACCCAAGTCCCCACCATGACCATTCTCCGGCCAGCGAGCTCGTGAGCCCCTTAGTAGTGTTAAAGATGATTAGAGAAGAAGGGAATGAGCAACCCCTTGGCCTCATCTAATTGATTAATTAAAAGACTGCACTGGGTGCAAGCACAAGGCAGCACCGACTCCTGTAGCAGCAGTTTCTTGGGCTCCAGCCTCCAAAGTGGGAAACCCGTGGAGTGCCTTTAAGGCTGACTTTGTGTTTTGGCCCAGTTGCAGCCTGTTGCTCTTCATCCCCTGCTCATGGGATGTTCCCCCCTACAATGGACCTGCCCCACTCCTTGCCCAGACCTGTCCTGCAGGCAATGGCCTTGGGTCAGACACCCAGCAGTATCTGCTGGGATGGGGTAAGAAGTAGCCTTTTCACCACCTTTAGAGATAAAAGAGGTTGTCTCATCTGTGTTTTTATTTAATTTAGGCCATAATAGATCTCCCCGGCAGCTGGGAAGTGATGCTGTGCCTGCAATTACATCACTCTGCCTCCCACAGCAGGTTTTTAGCTCTGGGGAAAAGGCAGGAAAAACAACCTAGCAGTTAATTTCTCCATTTGTAGTTATTCAAATCACATTTTTTGCCATTCATCTTTCAAGAGCAGCTGACACTTCGGCAGAAAGCCTACGCAAAACAATTGCACTGAACGCTTTACAATGCAGTTCTGCCCCCAGTAAATACTGGACATGTCTGTGGTTTTTCTTCATCCCTTGGCTGGTTTTGCTGTTATTTCAGGGTTGCTTTCCCTTGGAGCATTCCCTCTGTGTACACTGTCCCTCCACAGCATCCCTGCCCTCTTGGCATGGCCTCCAGTCCTTTGCATTCTGCCAGGAGCTAATGGGATGGCTTGAGACACTGAGCCTGATTTTGAGCCTTTAGGAGAAATGAGGGGCCCTGTGTCAAAGGTGCTTTCCTGTTTCAGTGCTTTCTGAGTCTCCTTTGAGGCTTAAAGATGTTCTCCTATTTGCATCTCTCTCCAGAAGTGGGGCTGGAAGGACCTTCCAGCAGTTGTGGGAGCCCAGATGATGCTGAAGAGAATGCTTTTAGGTTAGACCTTGAAGGTCGATGCATGGGGATAGCTGTGGCTTCTTAACCTGTGATAAGTGCTAATACATTCCTGCTAATAGCCCTTGTCATCTAATGTCTCCCTGGGTAAGGGACCTGGGGACAGGTTACTGATGTGCTGGGTCCTGTAGGGCAGCCGGCATGGGGAGATGTCATTCAGGGGTCACATGTGAGTGGGATAAACCCTTTTGTTTTGCTTAGTGAGGCCTTTCTGTGCAGGTACATGATACATCCATGAACATGTTTTTGGCTTCTGTCTCCTCATCACATCGGGTACCACCAGCTCACTCCTTGGTGGCATCCCCAGGACTGGCAGCCAGGGCTGTGCAGAATGGCTCCAACCCTGGCTCATGGATGTCCAGGCACCTCTGCCAAGGAAGCTGTTTCTCAGCTGCTCTTCCTTTTTCCTTAGGGGGGCAAGATCCCTGTCAGGTGGACAGCACCAGAGGCCATTGCCTACCGCAAGTTCACCTCGGCCAGCGACGTCTGGAGCTATGGCATTGTCATGTGGGAGGTGATGTCGTTTGGAGAGAGGCCCTACTGGGACATGTCCAACCAAGATGTAAGCACTGGGGGTCATTTACACAGCTCTGGAGGTGGTGGTGGGCTCATTCCCAAAACAAATCCCTGCCTGAATGGTTATCTGCTCTTTCATGGGGCCTCGGCAGCACTCAGTTTTGGAGATGAAACAGGCTAGGGAACAGGAGGATGCAAGGAGGGAAATGGGGAAGAAAAGCCAGTGGGCTGGTAATTGGACTTCAGCAAGCCACAGGGCCTTTGAAAATGTTCAGAGGGTTTGCGAGCAGGGAAAGAGCTTTGGTAGTTGGACTGCCGTACTCCGATGCGATCTGCTGAGATAATGAGTGGCAGCTCTCCGCAGAGAGGAACTGCGGTGCGCGGAGCATCAGAGCAGAGATTAACCTCTGAGTGCCCCAGCTCCATCAGAGCCAGGAGTGTCTCCTCCTGCTCCCTTTGCTGCTGATCAGATGGGCTGGCAGCTGCCTTCCCAGTCTGTGGCAGCACTGCCTGTAGCACCTCTGCCCGCACAAGGAGCTTGGCTCAGAATGAGGAGTGGCAGGGGTGGCTTACCCACTGCTCTGGCTGTGTTTTCCTCCTATATGAGGTCTCCAAGTCCCTCATCCTCCTCACATGCTGCTTTCTTCCCCGCTACCCTGCAGGTCATCAATGCCATTGAGCAGGATTACCGGCTCCCACCACCCATGGACTGTCCCGCTGCCCTGCACCAGTTGATGCTGGACTGCTGGCAGAAGGACCGCAACACCCGTCCTCGCTTCACTGAGATAGTCAACACCCTGGATAAAATGATCCGCAACCCGGCAAGCCTCAAAACTGTGGCTACCATCACCGCTGTGTGAGTCTCCCAGCATGTGGGGGATGCTCTCAGGTCTGCATCCCAAGCCGTGGCGAGAGGCTCCCTGCACAGCTTGTGCTGCTGGAGGGAAGGATAGGAATTCATCAATCGTTTGCCAGGCATGGGGGGTTTCTGTCTTTGCTCTGCCTGACAGGCAGACAAAGAACACAGTTTTCAGTCAAGCCACAGCAATAATTCTTTGCTATTGATTCTTTATGTTGTGTGACCATACTGGTGCAGTGTCTGTTCTGCCAGTGTCTCTGTCCCTGCAGCTCCTGCAGCTGGATTACAACGTGTGGGGTTGCAAAGTGCTGCTCAGCAGAGCAGTATCCTCATGGGACTGGCCTTCCTCACGGCCTTCCTTGTCTCAGGCATGTGGTGGGAGCAGGGCAGTGCTGGGGGATGCACAAGAGCACAGGCTTGGGGAGGGCATCTGTGCACTGGCTGGGCTCTTGCAAGGCAGCCCCTTGGCACTGGTTGGGCTTGTCCCCAGCGGTGTGTCCTCTTGCAGGCCTTCTCAGCCCCTCCTTGACCGCTCCATCCCCGACTTCACTGCCTTTACCTCAGTAGACGACTGGCTGAGCGCTGTGAAGATGAGCCAGTACCGAGACAGCTTCCTGACTGCTGGCTTCACCTCCCTGCAGCTTGTTGCCCAGATGACATCCGAGTAAGTTGGGTGCCATGTGAGGTCCAAGGCTGGTTGGGGTTGCAGGGTGGTGGGAAAGTCAGTTTAAGGCGCCTGCAAAGGAAAGGTGTGAGTATCCATCGCACTGGTCAGCAGAAGCACCCTGAGTCTGGAGGTGGCTGTGTTCACCATATGGGGGTCAGTGTGTGGGTCTCCTTGCTCTTAGTCCCACTTTGTCCCAGTGATACTCACAGGGCTGTACTTGGGTGCTGTGGCTGTTCTGCTGCTGAAAGGCATGGACCAGCTGAGTTTACATCCCTCACCACACCAAGAGACAGCAAACCAGATACGCCAGCCCTCAGCTGCCCACTGATATTTCTCTGTCTGTCTTCCAGAGACCTCTTGAGAATAGGGGTGACTTTGGCTGGGCACCAGAAGAAGATCCTGAACAGCGTCCAGTCCATGCGAGTACAGATGAGTCAGTCTCCAACCTCGATGGCATGACGTCCCTTGTTCTATGGGGAAGGGGACGGGGAGGGCACATAGCGGAGGGGCAGAGGTGGGAGGGGAGGAACTGACAGGCCCCGTGGGGCAGCGTTTGGAGAGGTGCTGCAGCTGCCTGGGGGACTGTGACCGCAGATGAAGGATGTTCCTGGGACTCATCTCTAACTGGTGACTTCCGTTCCTCACCAACAAAAGCACACTTACCAATGTCATGGGGAACAGCTTATAAATACATATAAATATGTACAAATCATATATTTAAAAAACAAAACAAACACAGAAAAACAATGAAGACAAACCAATGTGCGTTGGGGAAGCAAACCCAAACTCTAGATACCAGACTCCAATCCCACCACCAGTGAGCAGTGGTCAAAACTGAGAAAGGGGAAGGGACAGGCATGAGATGGAGCATCCCATCTGGAGAAACCACCTTCCTTTTCTTCTTTTGACCTCCCTCCCTGCCCTGTCCTTCCCTGCTCACCCCACTCCCTTCTCTGCTCATGGACTGGGCGGAAGTGTCCTGAAGACTTCTCCACAGCTCCCTGCCATCCCACCCGGGTGCCACTCCAGCAACTACCAAAGGACTTCGCTGACCACTGCATGGAGGATCCGACTCAATCCAGTTAATGTCTTCATATTGAAGAAGTGATGTACCTTCAATAGAAAACCTTGGGGTTTTTGTTGTTTGGGTTTTTTTCTTTTTCTCTTTTGCTTGCATTTTTTTTTTTCCATAAAGGAAAAAAAAAGGATTAAAAAAGATACCAATCCATCCTGGAAAACAGAAAGAGGTGTTCCCATGTGTGTGTGCGCTCATGCGTGTGTGTACATCGTTACCCTACTGTGGACTCACTGCTTGTCCGTAACCGAAGATCACCGCTGACCCTGCGGCCAGCAGCCAGCTGGTCCCCAGCCCAGGGGGGAACAGGGGTTGTGCCCACAGCTCCCAGGAGTGGGAGGGAGCAGGGAAGTGCCCAACAGCGAAGCATCCTGCAAACAAGGAGGATGCCAAGGGCCGGCCGGTGCGATGGGGACGGGATGGGACCAGAGGAGCCGCTGTGTGGTTGTGACTGGGTTGGTGACTGCTGGAGAAAGGAGGAGAGGTGCTCTGGGAAACAGACTGCTAAGGCCTCCCGAGCCTCAGCGATGTGTGGAAGATGGCTATGGAGGACTTTTTTCCCCATCTTGTGGACCTAAGGATTTTGACATTGATTTACAGACTTAGGTTTCATGGCTTCAGAGGTAGGTCCATTAGTCTTGTGTGTGTCTCTGTCCATCCATCCGTCCTTTCTCTGTGTTTTACTACTTGCTTCCTTAAAGCCTCTTCCAGTGAATGTTTCCCTGTGTTTAATTTGATTTTCTTTTTGTACAACCGTCGGTTTCCTTTGCAAATTGATCTAGTTAAAATTACTAGACGCGTGTCAGTGTTTACACAGAATATTGTAAGACTGGGCAATCTAACTTCCCTTTGTGGATCGCACTGAGAGTTTATAAAATGAATGAACTCTTAATAAGGCTTTTACTTAGATGGTTGTGTGCAGGCTGTAATGATCCATCACCATGGTCTTGGAGGCACTGCCCTGGAAGCAAGCGGCACCCACATGGCAGGGAGAGCAGTGGCATGGGCAGGCTGCCCACTGTGCCTCAAGGGCTGCTGGTCCCTGCTCTTATTTGGTGGACCATACATGTGTGAGAAACTCTTTGTCCTCCTTGAGCATCCACCCCCACTGTGGGGATGCCCCACATCTGCTTGCGCCGAGTTGCATCCATGTTGTGTTGGATGTACTGCATCCTCCTGGGCCTTGGGGGTGCCCCACACCCAGCTGTGCCGTAGGGATACCTTGTGTCTGTGCTGTGGGGGTACCCATATCTGGCTGTGCCGTGGGGATGCCTTGTCCATCAGTGCCTGGAGGATGTCTCATGTCCACCTGTGCTGTGGGTTTTCCCCCTTGTCCTTCCTTGCTGTGGAGATGCCTCACATCCAATCACACCATGGGGTTGCTCCTTGTCCATCTGCACCATTGGATTGCCCAACGTCCATTTATACTATGGAGATGCCTCAGCAGATTTGCTTGCTGGCACTGAGCGCAAGAGACAAGCTCTTCCTCTGCTGTTGCCAGTGCCTGTCCATGTGTCCTGGGTGTGAGTGTTGTCCCCTGTGCTGAGGCCATCAGGCTGCTCTCTGGCTAGGGGACCCCCTTGTGTCCTGTGGGGAGTATGTACTTGGTTCAGGAGGATGGTGGCTGACACCATCAGCAGATGAAGGACCCTGGTGATGGGGTGCTTTTTACACCTGAAATTTTAGTTCTTTAATTGCCTGAAGAAGATGACCCACTGCTCTGCTGAAGAACAGGAACTAACAAGATGCAGGAATGAGCTTGTTTCAAATCACTGAACTCCCCCCAGAGAAGGAGACAGAGAAAAACACCCCTTGTTTACAACAGCAGGGACTGCTCCTCGTCCTGTCTGATAGACGATTGCTAATACCTCTTGGGATACTCGTGGCCCAAATCTGTATTCCAGGATGTTGTCACAAGGAATACAACATGCAGATGGAGCGGGTGCTGTGCATGTTAATGCGCTGCCTTGCCACATTGATATTCGCTGGCAGTGAAGGATCCTTTGTGGGTTTTTTTATGGTTTCTCTTTTATTAGAAGGAAGCTAAAGGCATTTAAAGAAGCGAATGACAGCGACACAGGCTAAATATCAAAACCCCACCTTTATGACTCCCCTGCTGTATGTCACTTGGCCGCGCAAGCACCTGTGAAGCAGCTGGTCCAGCACCCTGCTCTGCATCCTCCTGGATGGAGGGATGATGTGATGGCACCATAGACCTTTCTTAGCATAAAACCTGTAACATGAAGCATTGAGTCCTGCACATCCAACCCAGCAGACGGGGTACCCACAAGTGGATAAACTGGCTGCCCAAGTACTCAGATGCTTTCAGAGATACTGAGTCCTGCTTTACGTCTTGGTTTGATTTCCCAACGTGGATGATGCTCATGACCTTCCCTGGCCCTTGGCTCACCCGAGCTGCCAAACACCCATAGGCAGAGTACCACTGCTGCCTTGCCCATGGCATGGTGGCTGCAGGCAAGTTTCTGGCTTGCAAGGAACTTGTGCTGTGGGTGTCAGCATGGAAAGGAAGCACATCTGGGCCCCAGGACTGCCACTGATGGAGGAGGGAGAGGCTTTTGTCTGAGAGCGGCACCATGTTTGCACAGCAGTGGTTTGCAGCCTTCCCCATGCTTCACAAAGCCTTTCTGTCCAGGAATGATAGCATTATCTCTGCCTAGTCATGACAGTGTGGTTGTGTGTCTTTGGACTGGCTCTTCTTTTCCTTCATCAGGTGCCAAGGAGGAAGCTCTCACCAGGATAGGAGGTGCAGGGCCCCACCAAAGGGGTGCTGCCTAAGTCAAGGCTTGCTGCCAACATTCAGTCCTGTGTCAGAAGCAGACTCCTGAGTACTTGGTTGGTCACTGGTTGGTCCAGGTCATTTAAGAAGTCTCCTTCATTAGTGATGTCATGGAGAAGATGTCAAGATGCTCTCACTTTGCCTTGTGCAGAGATGGGGCAGGAGCCACAGGCAGTGGTGGGACCTGGGGGTATGTTTTTATGCACTGAGGAGTGGTGCAGTTTTGGATCCATTGGATGCTTTGCCATCGTGGAGCAGTTCTGCCAAATGTAGGGAAAGACCCCCACATTTGTCAGAAAGAAAAAAAAAAAAAGTATATTAAAAAAAAAAAAAGTGAAACCACTAACTGTGGTCCAAAAACGAAAGCTCCTGTTTCACATCGTCTTCTGATCCATTGGAATTCCTTTCTTAGATCCCAAAAGGTAAGGGATGGCTCAAAAATTATGCCTCCCTCCAGTTTTGGTTTGCATGGAAATGAAAGTTAGAAAAAGGTTTTTCTTGTCAAAATGAACCAACTCCACAGACCTTTCCTCTAGGCTGGGTTTTATCCATCACACAGGGTCCTGGTAGGTTCAACTGGCATATGCTAGTGCTGAGAGGTGCCCTTCACTGGTGGAGTCTGCTGGGGTTGGTTGTAGCTTCTTGTAGCTGAAGCTCATTCATGGCATCTTGCTCCTCTGACTGCTCCTGCCTCTGTGCTTAGGAGCAGCACTTGGATGTGGTTGCTCGCCTGGGTTGCCTTTGAGTGAGCCCAGCTCGTGCTTGCCGTGTTCCTGTCCTTTCACAGGAATGCTTGGCAGTTGTCAGCTCCTCTACATTCCTATGGCAACTGCAAAAACCTCAGCCCGTTTGTGTCTTTTGTGTGTGTGTCTGTGTTGGCTTTGTCTTTTTTTTCATGTTGTATTACATAAAAAATACGGAATTTTGCTTCAAAACACCTTTTCAGACCTTGGCCCCAGGTCTTGGTGTGGGAGTGAGTGGGCAAGGTGATCACATCTGGACTGGGTGTTGCCAACTGGCTTCACATTGCCCTCTCCCTTCTGCATCCTCCAGTGTCAGCCCCCCTGTGTAGCTCCCCACATCCCCCCACAAAAACCCCCATTGACAATTCAGCTGCATCTTTTCCCCTGGGGTTTTGCTGTGTCTTTCGTACAACCCCATCTCTGGTGGGCTGCACTGTGCGCGATGGAGGATTCAGCAGCAGCTTTCTCAATAGCAGTAATTAAAATGAGATGTCGTGCCACTGCAAGCAAAGGTGAACTCATCCACTAGCACATCCAAGGCGAGAAGGAGCTTTTGAACGTGGAAGAGGAGCATGTATTAATAGCATTATTATGTGCCTCTTTCTAGAAAAAAAGAAAAAAGAAAAGGAATGTATTTTATGCCATTTAATGACCTTCAAATTAACAGTTCTTTGAAAGCACTTATGTATATTTAATTTTAAATGTTGCTGCAAGTCAGAGCGGGGCTTGCGATGAAAACAGCAGGCAGCCGGTTTTTAAATAACAGCGAGTTCAGACCATTATTTCTGAGCCTGTCAGGTTCTGGTGCTTGTAATGCTCCTTTCCCTAGAGAAAATGGGGCTGTCTCTCCCCCTGTTCCTCTTCCCTTCTCCTTCATCTCTGCCCCAGGAGCTCCCTGGCACCAGCCTGAGCCCTGCAGGTTCTCTTCTTCTGCTTTCTTCTCCTCTGCAGGGCAATGGCATCCTCTTGACGAGCCAATGGGGAGGATTCCGATTTGGAGTGAGGGAAGGGTTGTATTGGGGTTGATTTGCAGAGGTCTTGTCAATAAAGCTGGCTGCATCCCTGCCTGCTGGTTGAGGATATCCCTTTGGGAGTCAGGGGAGCATCACAGCTGGCCTGTGGCCTAGCATAAATCATTGGGCATCACCTATGGAGGGTTTTTTTGCATCACCACCAACACCTTTGTTGTATGATGGGGACAGACACGTTTGCATTTGTTGAGGTCTGAATTAATGCTTTTGCCTCTGATCCGTAAAAGCTGCCGATATATTTGAGCCACTCTATGTTCACTTGGAAATCATTGCTCTTAAACATTGAATTTGACTTTAAAGAAAAAGGGATCAATTGGTTTCTAAGATGAGGAATGGATTTATAGACCCTGTGATGGATTTTCAAGCTCTCAGAAATGTTCTGCAGCTCCAAGGCCAACCATCCTCTTCCGACTGCAGATGGAAAGGGAGGCGGTTGGGGCCACGGTTTCACATCCAGCTCATGCATTCATCCAGGTGCTGTGTGTCTCCTGCTTCCTTAATGTCCCCACTGTGCAAGGAGCTGCAGGGGATTATTTAACCACCATGTCATCATCTGCATTGGTGCCTCTTCTGTGAAAGATCCTGCCAGAGTGGATTCTGATCTAATTATGACTTGGAACCTGGGAACCTTCCATATTATCTTCAAAGAGCCTGAAGAAGACCTTTTTCAGCAGTTCCCAGTGAATCTCCTCTGTTTCAGAGGAGCCGGAAAGTTCCTAAGTGATGATGGAAAACATACGAAGTCCATGCCCATGGGACTTCCATGGCGAGTTATTTCACCCTGTCAGTGATTACCCCGTTGCTCCTGTTTCAGCTTACATTTTTCATAGAATGGGTTTGTGTTGGGTGGGTCCTTTAAAGATCATCTTGTCCAGCTCTCCTACCATGGGGGAATGGCTGTGCTCAACCTTCTCCAAACCCTGTCTCTTGGAGGTGTGAGAGCTGCCGTTGTGTTGCGTTCTCCCATTTTTGATGCGCTTGGGTTGTGGTTCTGCATCTGTGTCTTGAGGGATGTCTGCTGGCTTGTGTCCATCTGTCACTGGACCATGATGGACTATATTGCCATCCCACGGTTTGCCTTGGAAAGAGGAGCAGATGCAGCTGCTCTGATCAGGAGAGGAACTGTGAGATGGGAGCCAGGCAAATGCCTTTGGGTACTTTGGGTCAGTATCCATGGCACTAAATTTGGTCTCTTGGTTCATAGAATCCTAGATTGGTTTGACTTAGAAGGGACCTTAAAGCTTAGAGAAGAAGTTCCTGTCAGAGAAGCAAATCAGTGCTAGGGAAGGAAATGCATCTTCCTTTGGTGACTATGGTACAATCCAGCTGGGCCTTCCTGGGTTGTCAGAGCTGCTGACACTCTGGGGACAGTGTCCCAATGTGTCCCATCTGCTTTGGCTGTCCTACATGGCGCAGCATTGTGAGCATCCCTCCCGCCCAGGATTAGCTGCCTGCTCCCTCCCCATCTGTGTCTGAGCATCTCTATTGCTTCTGCTCTTCTTCCTCTGGCCATTGGCCTTTAAAATGCCGTTGAAGCCCCTGGCTCTCCAGGGCTATCCCTGGTGTGTGCCTCTGTTGTGCCTGTTTTAGGCGGATCAGCGGGTCCCAGCAGACCCTAACACACACACAGCAAGTGGAGGAGAAACCAGCTGCAGTGTGAAGTGAGGCAACCGTGGACAGCGTGGCCGTGCCAGTGGCAGAGATGGGATGGCATTGAGGTCTCCCGGCCCATCTCTGGGGGGAAGTGCTGGAGGAGGTTAATCTGGGCAAACCAGCTGTGTGAATTTTAAGTGGATTAGCTGAACTCTGTTCTTTCCCAAAACAGACTCACTCTTTCAGGGCCGATGTGCAGGTGGATTAGGCAAAAATCTACTTAAGGCTGTGTTAATTCTAGGTAAGTGTAGGGAGGTTAATGCCTATCCACTTAAAAAGTTAATTGGAGTGAACTTTTCTCCGTGTCCCCAAGTAAACAAGCTTTCCCCATCCACCAGCCCATGCTGTGGCTTTCCCTTCTCTGCTCTCCTATCCCCACACCTTGCCCAGGAGCTGACATCGTGGTGGGGGTGAACCTGCTCCTCTCTCAATTGTTATCCCCAGGGGTCTTATTAGGCAATTGAACCCTTGCAAGAAGGTAAGGGAGAGAGAGCAGGGAAATTATGGTCATCATCAGTGCAATTATCAATGCTAATTAGCACTGAGCAGGACTGATGGCAGGAGGTACAGACCATGCCAAGTGTTGCCTAAGAAGCAAGGTGAGCCTGGTGTCAGAAATGTGGGCTGGAGCCTTGAGGATGCTCTCACAGGCAGGCTGTGAAATGTGTGCAGGCCAGCTGGTTCATTGTTCCCCCATCATGCTATAGGGTGAATTCTTGATTCCCCACCACAGTAATGTGGGGAGGTGTCCACAGCCAGATGCTGCTGGCTCTGGTCTGTTGGCTGGGGTTAGTGCCAGGGTGGCAGTGCTATACCCCAACCCCAGTGATGCCCAAATGGGGACAGAGCTCCAGCAGGTTCCTGCCCAAAGGGCAAGAGCCAGGCCAGAGCCTGAAAAGGGCTCTCTGAAGTGGTTTGTGATACAGTGATGGCTTTGGGGGCAGCTCCACACGTGCGTCCATCCCTTACCTGCTCTGAAGCCGCACCCCTTTTCCACAGTAGCATTCAGGAATAGCAGCTGGGTTTGCAATGCCATTCATCCTTTGATCATTTGGGGTATTTGCAATTCTGCCTGGGCTGTCCTATTCCCATAAGCACGGAAAGGGAGAGCACCTGAGGGTTGGCATGCTGCCTGCATCCCAACCACGATGCTGGCTCTCCTACAGCTATACTGATGCTGATAACACCTTCCCTTATGGGATGCCTTCTCATCTCACAAACGTGGCCCTTTTATTGCTATTTGTGTCATGCCAACAGTTACAGGCTGAGATCAAAGCCCTCTGTGCTGTGCTGCTTGCAGGGGCTCCCACGCTGGAGCATGGGATGTGCAACAGGGGGTGATTCAGTGGTTGTGTACCTGGGGAGTGATCAAATGTGCTGCCCCCTCCCCATCATCTCCTGGCTGCCCATGACCTTACCTTTGGGTCCTTCGGGATCTTTGCAGATCATCCATAGCTGTCCCTGGATGAAGGGAGGGGCTGCTGCTGCACCTCCCCCGGGAGAGGCACAGGCTCCTCAGGGGAATATAAACCCCAAACCCTTCCCCAGTTCCACTGCTCCCGGGCAGGGTGGCTGTGGCTAAACGAGCTGGGAAAGGCCACAGGGAGAAGGTGGCGCTGGAGCCATTGCTTGGCTTCAGCTTTAATGTGGCCAAATCCGTGGCCGATACCAATCACTGTCACCTCACTGACTTGGGTGCAACCACCTTGATTTGCAGCCCTGGGTTCCTGTGGACCCATCTGGCTCAGCAGTGTGTTCAGCAGCATCTGCTGCACCCTGCGTCTGTTGCCTTCTGTAAAACATCAGTTGTATTTCTGTTGTCACTGATTTTCCAGCCGTTTAGCTGTTCTGCTCCCGTTAATGCTAATGGGAGCCATGAGACTGAATCTCCAAGCACTGAAAATGGACCCCGGTGCATAAGGAATATGCAGTGATATCTTTTCCCCCAGCCAAAGCTCTTTTTTTTTCCTTAGATCGTCTCAATTTCTGTCATGCTTTCTCCCATGCCCCTTTTTCTGCAAACACCAAATTACTAAATAAAAGTTTCATTACTACCCAGGCTTGCTAAAAAAAATATTTTAATTCAGGAGAATGATGCATTTTAAGAGCACTGAAATGTCAGACATAGCTGGAGTTGTTTTTTGAAAGCATTGGTATGTTCAGAGAGGCACAGAGGCACCCGGCAATAATTAGCCATTGAGCCCCAGTTGTCAGTGGCCCAGCAAAGGGACACAGCGGTCAACTGCTTTGTTATTTAATGTGGTGCCTTTATGTTTCCAAGCTGCAGCTGTATATTAAAAGCATCTTTGCCTCTGCAGAGCAGCTAAATAATGGGATTTTGCTGCTACACAGGACTTCCTGGTTGCAGGGTGAGAAGGAGGTGCTCCTGGTGCTGCTCTTCTAGTTTGGAGACCTTCTGGCTTCCCCCTGGCAGCAGACAAAATGAGTGGGCTTTGTTACATTGGAAAGAGTTTTTCATGGTGCCTGATGGTTTGCTTCTGCTTTAGACCTGAGGGTGCTCGTACTACAGTGGGAGGGGGGAGAAAGAAAAGCATCATCACTGCTGGGGTACACAGTAACCCTCCCGCCCCCAAAATCAAGGCTCAGTCTCTGCTCACTGAAGCATCTCATCTTCACACAAAGAAATGTGTCTCTTCCATTCCTTTTTGTTCCCCCGAGGAAAAAATTGAGAGCTTTCAGTGAAATCATCAGTTTTCTGACAGCATATTAATTAAACACTGCTTTTTGTGGGTTTTTTTCCTTTCTTTCTTTGAGAGGCTGGATCTGCTGTAAGAAGTCTTTGGGTTCTGCTGGATGCAGTTGCCATCGGCTGCAGGACAAAGGGGCTCAGCATTCCAGCACATGGTTTTGGGGAAGTGCCGCTTCATCTCCCAGCATGGGACATGTTTGTTCTCATCCTTTTCTCATTTCCCTCCTTGCAGGGGCATCAAGTCCAGCACCACAGAGGCACTGGAGAGGGGATTGACACTGGTCCCTGGGGACCGCTGCCCTCCGCCACCCATGAGATGATGACGGTGATGCCCCCCGAGCCGCAGCGTGCCCCGTGCCAGCCAGCCCTACCTTGTCCTGTACATAACCAGTGAGATGTCTGTAAAAGATTTCAACCCTTGTAATTTTTTTTTGCCCTCCCTCCCCCTGCCTCCTTCCCCAATTTGTTGATTGTGTTGAAATTGTCGGAGTTTGTAACAGTAACTTTCAGAGAATATTGTACTAAAGAGAAAATTGCACTCAATAAAAATGATGAAATAAGCCTGATCCCTCTCCTTCCCTTTCCCAGGGGCAGTCTTTCTGCTGCCGGTTTCTCTCCAGCTCGGAGCTGGGTGAATATTTGCCATGAATATTCATTTGGGGAACTGGCAGCGCTCCATCGCTCCTTGACTTACCTCAGATTTTGATGTCTATCAGATTTGGCTCTCCAGTTTGTAAATGAAGTGACTCGATTCTCAGTGATCCCTATCGGAGGTTGCTTGCTGCAAAAAGCCGGGAGAAGGAATTTTCTTGGCATGGGTTTCTCTGCAGGGTGCGTTTCAAAGTCCTGATGTGGAATCGCTCGGGGAAGCCACACTGGAAGTGCTGACTGGGATGAAAGCGCTGTCTGTGCTGGGGGAGCACAGTGGCTCCTCGCCTCCCCAGCCTTTGTGCAGCCTGTCGATTAAAAGGCCGATGCTCAGCTTGAACATGCTTGCCTTAAGGATTACTGTAAATGGTTGCAGGAAAATGGATTCTTCCCTTTGCATTGGCTATGCTCAGGCTTTTTATCCAGCTGCGACCATGCAGCCCCTCCAGGTGCTGCTGCGTGAGATTAGCTGACCCTGCTGGCTTTGGGTGACCACAGGGAATGTCCTCCAGCTGGCAGTGAGGGCTGGAATAGGAAGGTTTAGATTTTCATATACATATATATGTGTATATATATATATATATAAAATGGATAGCTTTAGAAATACATCACCACCACACAGGTATTTGAGGTTCAGAAAGAGGAGCTGCTACAGGGAGAGCTTTTGAGTTATGGGATTCTCATACCTTGTGGTTTTGGATTGATCTTATGGGGAGGGAGGTGTCTGCTGTGGGTGGTGCTGGCACATCCCTGAGGTCTCTGCTGCCCTGTAATTCTCAGAGCTGTGGTATTGCTGATATGGGGCTTTCTCACGGCTGCTATCCAGAGATCTTTCCGAGTTCTTGCTGCCCTGGGCTCACACAGTGAGTTTTGCCTCACGCGTCGTGCACAGGGAGAGAACGGCAAGCTTGGAGTAAATGGGTTTTTGAGCTGTTTTGGTGGAGGGTTTTTAGCCAAACCAATCCTGGCAAATGAAACCAGAACTCCTCTGCCATCAAATCCAGCCTCCTGGCAGGTCTTTGGACATGCAAGATGCACATGGGCAGTGGCTGATAGAGGGCAGAGCTGAAGCTGTTTGTGTGTCCTTGATTGAGTAGCTACTTGATTTAATGAGCTACCAGTGTTCATGTTTCTAGAGTCCTCTGGGATTTGGGGAAAAGAGAGGGTATATCCTTTACACAGGTTGCCCTAAGATTTTCCCTTTAAGTAACCAAAAGACATTTACAGCCAGTGCTTAACGTTACCAAAGCAGCTTGTCTGGGAATAGCCTTTTAATAGGGTCTGGAGGAGACCTGCTGGCAGTTTGATGGCTTAATGGGGCTCTGAAGGATGGCTGGGAGCTGTGTGGGGTCACTAGCAGAGCCCAGAGCACAGGGACAGTCCTTGATGCAGCCTCACCATGCTGATACAGGTTTGTACAGCTGCAGGCTCTGTCCCTTGTAGGTTTTTTCCCCACAGGATGCAGTCACCTGCATTCCAGCTGGAACAAGACATCACTTGCCAAGGCCACACAGTGTCCAGAAAACTTTGCCTGAGCTTTGAATACAGATACAGGTGTCTGTCACAGCCAGAGCAGGGGCTGACTTTCCAAATGAAAAATCTTTCCTTTCATGGCTCTCAGGTTTGAGGAATGGAAGCAGTGTGTTGGCTCCAATTACTCTGCACCAGACCTCAGAAATTTCAATATACCGGATACTCCAGCACACCAGCTCGATGCCAGCCTAACCCGATCGTCAATAGAGTAGCTCCTGATTTACCCCACCACATCCAGAAAATGGAGCTGAGGCTGCCCTCAACACAGGGTGGGGAGGAGATGTGTTGTGAGGTGCAATAGGGGGCTGCTCACCCATGAGGTCTGGTGGGAGACAATTGCTCTTACTCCATTACTATGGGGCAAATGAGGCACTGGGCACAGCTCTGGCTTGAGGACAGCCCTGTCCTTGGGGAAGAGAAGTGGCTGGGAAGCTACCGACTGCACAAAGAGATGTGGCAGAGCAGGAGGAGGAGGTCTGAGACACACATCCCCCGTCCTCTCCCACTTCCCTCCTTCCCTCCCATACTTGGCAATGAAAGACAAATAAAAGACAAGCCCAAGAGGACTATAGGCTAAATTGTAATTGGAGCAATATGGTCCGATTATAAAGTTATGTGCCAACCCGCATTAAATGGCAGCATCTGCTGGAATTATTGGAGATGCCTCATCGCCTATTAAAAGTGCTGTTTTTTTTTTCGTGGAGGACAAGCCTGGCAGGCTACAGTGGTGCCTGAGAGCCTGTGCCGAAGCCAGGAGGGCTTGGATGGAGCAGGGCTGGGTGAAAATCTCCTCCAGGTCCTGTGGGAGATGTTTTGGGGGATGCTCTCAAGAAAGCCACCTCCTGTCACCAGCCAAGTTGCTTGTTTCTGTTTATCAGGTCACGCTGCATACACCTCCTAGGCAAGTTGCACGTGCATGCACCAACCTGTGTGTGTGTGCACAGCTTGCATCCTCCCTGCTCCCCAGGGTGCTCGGAACAGGGCAGGATTTACTCTACTCAATTGCTTTTAGCTGGTTTCTAGTTACCTTCTTGATTAAACCTGCATGGCCACCCCATCGCTGTCCCCAGAGCCACCCCCAGCATCAGGTATGAAACCCTCCAGCCTGGTTGGGCAACAACGTGATGCTATTGATTCTGCTCATCCTCTGGAATGCTCATCTACCTGGACTTGTGCAAAGCATTTGACATTGTCCTGCATGACACCCTTGTCTCTAAATTGCAAAGGCATGGATCTGACAGATGGATCACTCACTGCATAAGGAACTGGCTTGATAGTTGCACTCAGAGAGTTGTGGTCAATGGCTTAATGTCCAAATGGGGACCAGTGATGAGTGGTGTTACTCAGGGATCAGTATTGGCACTGGCACTGTTTAACATCTTTGTTAGCAACACAGACAGATGGATTGAAGCACCCTGTGTGGCACAGGCTGATGTCCCCTCTCACTGAAGGAACACAGAAAGTCCAAACCCTGAAACACCCATTCTGCCTGCCTGAAGACCCCCTCGCATCCCGGTGCTATGAAGTGGTCATTCCCACCCCCACTAAGAGGATGTTTTGCCCTCCCTGGACTGCTGCTGCTCTTGGCACACGGTACTAGAGCTGCTTCCAAGCCTTTTATCTGCCGGTGCCACGCGCAGTCCATGCATTATTTACTGTGTGCCTTCCCAGCTCAGCACTGCACGCCGAATTATTCATTTTCCTCATGGGCTTTTTCCATGGCTCTAATCAGGGTTTCTTAGTTCTTTATAAATACTAATGAATTTGTTTCTCAATGCCCTTGTGAGGGAGATGGGGTACTACATCTTCTTTGCACACAGTGAGTTCCAGTATGGATCTGGGGACTTCAAAGCCATGTAGGCACCCTGGGAGGCTGTAAGTGCTGGATTGGCACTGCCATGTTGGCTCCTTGGCTCCAGGTATCCCAGCAGGAGGGCAGATGATACCCACCCTGGTGCTGGCCCCCATATGGGTGATCCCCGCTCAGCCTTTATCCCAGCAGTGCCTTCCTCTTGGAGGACCCATCTTCCCTCCTGTATTTAGCATTTATTTGAACACATTGCTTTGCAAACATACGGGTGCAATGTCGCTTGTGGCGACTCCACCATGGGACTGCTGCATTGTGTGCACTCAGGGAAGCCTGTCAGCTTTAATGCTGCAGAAGAGGTTGCAGCTTTCCATGCCCACCAGGTCTATGTCTCCACAACCAAGCTTTCCTCCCCTCTTCTCTGCTTTCTGAATTGTACCAGGGGCCACAGACCTTACTTGCTGCTCCCTTGGACCTTTTTCCTGGTGCTCTGTGTTCCTTGCTCTCCCCAGTTGTTCCTCACTCCTTAGGTGGCCTCACACTGCACAGAATCAGCATCTCTTTGCCATGCTTACTTCTTACTTGCTGCTTTGTGCGTTTCCCTCTGCCCGGCTGTCTACTGGACCCCTTTCTTTCAGTTTTTCCTCCTCCCAACTGACTTGACCAGGGACTACAGGGAGAAGCAGCGTATACTGGGGCAGCAGGTGTCAGGTCAGGACTGGTTTTAGCTTGGGGAGGATTCATTAACTGGGGTGTGATATGTGCGATAGCTGGGAACCGCCTGGGAGTGCTGAACCCTGCTCACAAGGTGCTGAGCTGTGCTAATAAGCCTAATTGACAAACAAGGTGTCTCCGAGACTACTAATTAGCTCAGCTGAGCTGCATTGTAGGGTTGTCAGCCTGTGAGTTGCTGGGTAGTGCTGGGAGGGAGCTGTTGCCTCCAAGGGGCCAGGCTGGACCAAGGTATTAGCAGTCAAGACCTCTGCTGGAAGAGGTGGTCACTCCTGCATCCCCTGAACCAGAGGAAGCCTCCTGAGCAGCAGCAAACACCCATTTCCAGCCTGTTCTCATCAGGAACATGAATGCACCTCCACTGCTACATCCATGTGGGTGCTACCACCATGCATGTTGATGCATTCAGCTCCTCTGCAAGAGCCTCATGCTCATGGTGGGTAACTTACCCCTCTTCCCCATGTGTCTGGGGTACAAGCCAGCTCAGGGAGGTGGCAGCTGGGTCCCACACTGGTATTACTGAGTATCTTAGTAAGGTCTATGAGGACAGGGCAAGGGGTAATGGTTTTAAATTATAAGAAGGTAGATTCAGAATAGATATAGGGAAAGAATTTTTCACTATGAGGGTGGTGAAACACTGGAACAGGTTGCCCAAAGAAGTTGTAGGTTCTCCATCTCTGGCAGTGTTCAAAGCCAGGTTGGATAGAGTTCTGAGCAACCTGGTCTAGATAAAGAAGGCTTTGCTTATTGCAAGGTGGGTGTGCACTACTTAATCTTTAAGGGTCTCTTCCAACCGAGACCATTCTATGATTCTACATTGAGCCTTTAGCGTGCCAAACA